TTTGGAATTCCTTAATGGCTAATGATGTTAATTAAATATCTTTTGATGTGTTAATATATCATTTGTATATCATCTTGGATAAGTTCTCTGTTTATGTCTTTTACTATAAAACATAATTGGATTTTTCTGATTGGATGAGTTTTGGTTTGTTTTTGTTTTAAACTGTTGGGGTTTTTTGTGTTCTTTATTTATTCTATATACTAGTCCTTTGCGAGATAAGTGGTTTGAAAATATTTTCACCCAGTCTGTGATTTATTTTTTAATCCTCTGTTAACAGGATTAAAATTAAAAATGCCTTTTGCAGAGAAACCATTATTAATTTTGATGAAATTCAATTGATCGCTTTATAACTTTTTCCTTTATGGATCACCTTTTGCTGTTAAGTATAAGAATTCTTTAGCCCTAGTTCCCAAAGTTTTTTTTTTCTGTTTTTTTCCCTAAAAATTGCAATTCTACATTTTACAACTCAGTTTGTGATAAATTTTGAGTTAATTTTTTGTGTAAGATGTGAGGTTGATGTCAAGGGATTTTGTTGCTGTTGCCGTTGCTGTTACCTGTGGATATTCAATTGCTCTGGAACTTTCTGTTATAAAAGCTATTATTTCTCTATTGAATTGTCTAATATCTTTTAAAAAATCAGTTAGGCATATTTGTGTGGTCTATTTCTGGCCTTTCTATACTATTCCACTAAGGCATGTGTGTGTTTATCTCTTCACCAGTACCACACAATCTTGATTACTCTGGTTATCTAATAAATTTTGAAGTTGGATAGGCTCAGTCCTCCCACTTTTCTCTTTCAAAATTGTTTTAGCAATTCTAGTGTGTTTGTGCTTTTATAAAATTTTTCAGATCAATCTTGTCTATATCTACAAAAACTATTGTCTGAATTTTTATAAGAAAATTGTGTCAAATCTGTATAGCAATTGGGGATAACTGACATCTTTACTATGTTGAGTCTTCCTCTCATTTAACATGGTTCATCTTTGCATTTATTTAGATCTTCATTATTAAATCAGCATTTTGTAGTTTAATACAAAAGTCCTGTATGTGTCTTTTTTAGAATTGCACCTAAGTATTTTGTTTGAGTGATTATAATTTGCATTTTTATTTTGGGGTCTCATAGATTCATTGCTAGAAATGTAGACATGTAATTGCTTTTTTATGTTCAGCTTGTATTATTTGACTTTGCTGAATCCACTTATACTTCTGGGAGTTTTTCTGTAGATTCCTAGGGACATTCTATGTAGACAATAATGTCATTTGTAAATAAACACAATATTGTTTTGTTTCTTGATGTCCAAAATGTATGGCTTTTTTTTTTTTTTTTTTTTTTTTGCCTTCTTGAACCTGCCAAAATTTCCAGAACTATGTTTAAAAAGAGTGGTGAGAGCATATATCCTTGCATCGCTTTCAATCTGAGATAAAACATTAGCATTTCTTTTTTTATACACATTTTATATAATGTTAGCTGTAGAATTTTTTTAAATCAAGTTGAAGAAGTTCCCATTTATTTCTTTTTCACAGTGATTTTATTATAAATGTGTATTGAATTTTGTCAAATGCTTTTTTCTGCATCAATTGATACAATCACATGGTTTTTCTTCTTTAACTTGTTCATATGATGGATTACATTTATTGATTTTCACATGTTGAACCAGGCTTAAACCTCTCAAATAAAACCAAAATGGTAATGATGTGTAATTCTTATATGTTGCTGAATTATGTTTGCTATTTTTTTTAATGTTTGCATCTATATTTATGAGGCATGTTGTTCTGTGGATTTCATTCTCGTTTTTTATATTTTTTTTTTTCTGATTTTGGCGAGTTTCACAAAACGAATTAAGAAGTGTTTCCTCCTTTATTTTCTGGAAAAGATTGTGTAGAATCGTCTTAGTTATTTTTAAACATTTGTAGAATTCTACAGCAAAACCACCTGTGCCTTTTTCTGAGAAGCTTTTAAAATACAAATTCAATTTTCTTAATAGCTATAGTGCTTTCAAATTATCTATTTTATATTGAATGATTTGTATTAGATTGTGGAGATTTTTTTCTTCCATTTGTTCTCTTTTTTTAAAAAAAAATTCTTACAATTAAGACATAAATCTGAGTAGTTTGTGATTTTTGAAGAATTGGTCCATTTAAACTGGGTCATCAAATATGTGTGGAGTTGTTGGCAGTATTTCCTAATAACCTATTTCTTGTCTGCAGGATCTGTAGTGAGTTTATTCTTATATTGGTAATTTACTTTTTTCATCTTTGTCAATCTTGCTACATGTTTGTCAATTTTATTGATCTTTTTGAAAACCCAGGTCTTTGATTCATTGATGGTCTCTGTTGTGTTACTGTTTTCAATTTGACTGATTTCTGCTCTTTATTTCCTTCCTTCTGCTTGCTTTGGGTTTATTTTGTTCTTTTTTCCTATGTTCTTGAGGTAGAATCTTAAATTATTAATTTGAGGCTTTTCCTCTTTTCTAATACATGTATCTAGTGCTTTGTATTTTCCTCTCAGCACTGCTTTCACTGCATTCTACCAATTTTGATATATGATATTTTCCGTATCATGTAATGCTTTTTTTAAAAATCCACATGATACTTCATCTTTGACTGATGAACTATTTATGCATATGGTATTTCATTTCCAAGTGTTAAGAAATTTTCCTATTATATTCATATTATTAATTTCTAGATTGATTCCATTGTGGACAAAAAGCACACTCTATATCATTTCAGTTACTTTTTTTGCATTTGAACTGTTATTTCTTCTTATCCTATGGTGAGATAATCATAAAAATATTGTGAAGGAAACTTCTCATAATCTTTCTCATTACTGGCAATATTTATTATTACAAATCTATATAAATTCAATTAAAATATATAGAGACGGGGGAACTATATCATTACTATGGCAGCTAATGAAATAAAAACACATAAAAATATTTTCTGAATTTTAGAAAATAAGTTGAAAATACAAAGTAAAGTACTAAGAATTGACCATCATATGTCACTGAATTTTGCTTATTGATTTAGCTTTTGTGCTTTTTAATGGAAAATAACCCAGCTCTCTTAAATCTACATCTTCCACTCTCTCGATGTTATAAGTTGAATTGTGTCCCCCAAAAAGATCCATTGAAGTACCACAGAATGGTATTTTATTTGGAAATAGGATAATTACAGATGTAATTAGTGAAGAAGAAATCACACTGGAGTAATGTGTGCCCCTAATTCAATAAGACTAGTGTCCTTATGAGAAGAAGAGAAGAGATACAGACACATAAGGGAAGGCAGATGTGATGACAGAGGCAGAGACTAGATTAATGCAGCTTCAAGCCAAGGCACTCCAAGAATTACAGACCACTAGCAGAAACTGAAGGAGGCAAGGAAGTCTTCTACCCTACAGGTTTCAGAGGGAGCATGTCCCTATAAACATCTTGATGTTGCACTTCTGGCCTCCAGAACTATGAAGTAATGAATTTCTGTTGTTTTAAGCTACCAAGTTTGTGGTACTTTTTACGACAGCCCTAGGAAACTAATACATTCAGGTTTCTTTTTAATTCAATTTTTAAGTGTTTTATTCTATTTGTTTCCCTTTTCTTTTAATTTCTTTTTTATTGATACATAATATTTTACATAATTATGAGATATATGTGATATTTTGTTACAGGCATAGAATGTGTAATGATCAAATCAGAGTAGTTGAGGTGGTCATCACTTTGTAGTATTTATCACTTCTATGTGTTGAGAACAATTCAAGTCCTCTCTTCTAGCTACTTTGAAGTATACAATACATTCTTACTAACTATAGTCACTCTCCTCTGCTACCAAATGGGAGAACTTATACCTTTCATCTAATTGTATATTTGTACCCATCAACTACCCCTCTTCATCACCCTTTAACCAACCATCCTTCCCAGCCTCTAGTATCTATCATTACATTCTCTATCTTTAATGACATCAACTTTTTTAGCTTCCACATATGAGTGAGAACATGTGCTATTTGTCTCCCTGGGCCTGGGTAATTTTACTTAATATTATGACCTCCAGTTCCATCAGCTGCTGCTGCAAAGGACATCATTTTATTCTTTTTAATGGCTGAATAGTATTTCATTGTGTATGTATACCACGTTCTCTTTATCTTTTAATCTACTGATGTACACTTAGGTTGATTACAGATCTTTGCTATTGTGAATAGTGCTGCAATAATAATGTAAGTACAGGTATGCCTTTTATATACTAATTTCTTTACCTTTAGATGGATCTCCAACCATGGTATTATTGGATGGTATGGTACTTTTATTTTTAGTTTTTAGGGAAATCTCCATACTGTTTTCCATAGTGATTGTACTAATTTACTTTCCCAACGATAGTTATAAGAATCCCTTTGCTCCACATTATGCCAGCATTTGTTATTTTTTGTCTTTTTAGTAATACCCATTCTAACTAAGGTAAGATGATACCTCGTGGTTTT